TGTGGATTCTGATGTAAAGGGGAACTCTGATGTTAGTGGGTCTCTGCTCACCAAAACCCCTCTTACATCAGAGAAAGGAGGAGGGGTGTTGACACTTCACTCACAGACAGGGGATGGAGGGTGAGCTGATTCACCTGGGATGTACTCAGGCACTGGCTGTCAGCACCTTTTAGCATCCAGCTGCTGGGCTTCAATTTCCCACCCACACATCCCCTACTCTGAGGCACAGTGCTGCCAGGGATTGGAGAGTGGGTGGGGCAGACACAGGAGAGGGAAAGGAGGAGGAGGAGATCAGCTTGCGCTCTCCTGTCCATGCAAGGACGGGGTCTGTCACTGTTGGCTCTGCCCTGCAGCCAGTAACCCTGCTGGGGAGTCACAGTCCGAGCTCTTGGGGTCCCCCACAGTGGCAGAACATCAGGGCTGGTTCGCGATTCGCAAAAGTTATAATCCTCCACCCACAGTTGATCCAGAGGAAGACAAAAAAAAAACAGCAAAGCACGATCCAACGTGCTCCTGCAGGGGAAAAAATTGATTCCTGATCCCCCGAGAGGCAATCGGATATTCCCTGGATCAACTTTCCCTATAAATGTTATATCCAGTTATATTCTGTGTATCCAAGAAAGAATCCAGGACTTTCCTACAGCAATCCACTGAGCTGGCCACAACCAACTCTGGAGGGAGTCTATTCCACATTCTCACAGCTCTCACTGTGAAGAAACCTTTCCATGTTTGGAGATTACATTTCTTTTCCTCCAGACGTAAAGAGCGCCCCCTTGTCCTCTGTGATGAACTCAGGGGGAATAACTACACCGAGTTCACTATATGAACCACTGATGTATTTATACATGGAGATCATATCCCCCCCTTATGTATTCTACATGGAGATCATATCCCCCCTTATGTATTCTACATAGAGATCATATCCCCCCCTTATGTATTATACATGGAGATCATATCCCCCCTTATGTATTGTACATGGAGATCATATCCCCCCTTATGTATTATACATGGAGATCATATCCCCCCCTTATGTATTATACATGGTGATCATATCCCCCATTATCCCCCCTTATGTATTATACATGGAGATCATATCCCCCCCTTATGTATTATACATGGAGATCATAATTATTTATACATGGAGATCATATCCCCCCTTAAGTATTATACATGGAGATCATATCCCCCCTTATGTATTATACATGGAGATCATATCCCCCCTTATGTATTATACATGGAGATCATATCCCCCCTTATGTATTATACATGGAGATCATATCCCCCCTTATGTATTATACATGGAGATCATCATATCCCCCCCTTATGTATTATACATGGAGATCATATCCCCCCTTATGTATTATACATGGAGATCATATCCCCCCCTTATGTATTATACATGGAGATCATATCCCCCCCCCTTATGTATTATACATGGAGCTCATATCCCCCCCTTTGTATTATACATTAGATCATATCCCCCCCCTGGATGATCATGGAGATCATCCCCCCTTATGTATTATACATGGACATGATCATATCCCCCCCTTATGTATTATACATGGAGATCATATCCCCCCCTTATGTATTATACATGGAGATCATATCCCCCCTTATGTATTATACATGGAGATCATATCCCCCCTTATGTATTATACATGGAGATCATATCCCCCCCCTTATGTATTATACATGGAGATCATATCCCCCCTATGTATTATACATGGAGATCATATCCCCCCCTTATGTATTATACATGGAGATCATATCCCCCCCTTATGTATTATACATGGAGATCATATCCCCCCTTATGTATTATACATGGAGATCATATCCCCCCCTTATGTATTATACATGGAGATCATATCCCCCCTTATGTATTATACATGGAGATCATATCCCCCCTTATGTATTATACATGGAGATCATATCCCCCCTTATGTATTATACATGGAGATCATATCCCCCCTTTATGTATTATACATGGAGATCATATCCCCCCTTATGTATTATACATGGAGATCATATCCCCCCTTATGTATTATACATGGAGATCATATCCCCCCCTTATGTATTATACATGGAGATCATATCCCCCCTTATGTATTATACAGGAGATCATATCCCCCCTTATGTATTATACATGGAGATCATATCCCCCCTTATGTATTATACATGGAGATCATATCCCCCCTTATGTATTATACATGGAGATCATATCCCCCCTTATGTGTATTATACATGGAGATCATATCCCCCCTTATGTATTATACATGGAGATCATATCCCCCCTATGTATTATACATGGAGATCATATCCCCCCTTATGTATTATACATGGAGATCATATCCCCCCTTATGTATTATACATGGAGATCATATCCCCCCCCTTTATGTATTATACATGGAGATCATATCCCCCCTTATGTATTTATACATGGAGATCATATCCCCCCCTTATGTATTATACATGGAGATCATATCCCCCCCCCCCTTATGTATTATACATGGAGATCATATCCCCCTTATGTATTATACATGGAGATCATATCCCCCCCTTATGTATTATACATGGAGATCATATCCCCCCTTATGTATTATACATGGAGATCATATCCCCCCTTATGTATTATACATGGAGATCATATCCCCCCTTATGTATTATACATGGAGATCATATCCCCCCTTATGTATTATACATGGAGATCATATCCCCCCTTATGTATTATACATGGAGATCATATCCCCCCTTATGTATTATACATGGAGATCATATCCCCCCTTATGTATTATACATGGAGATCATATCCCCCCTTATGTATTATACATGGAGATCATATCCCCCCCTTATGTATTATACATGGAGATCATATCCCCCCCTTATGTATTATACATGGAGATCATATCCCCCCCCCCCTTATGTATTATACATGGAGATCATATCCCCCCTATGTATTATACATGGAGATCATATCCCCCCTTATGTATTATACATGGAGATCATATCCCCCCTTATGTATTATACATGGAGATCATATCCCCCCTTATGTATTATACATGGAGATCATATCCCCCCTTATGTATTATACATGGAGATCATATCCCCCCTTATGTATTATACATGGAGATCATATCCCCCCCTTATGTATTATACATGGAGATCATATCCCCCCTTATGTATTATACATGGAGATCATATCCCCCTTATGTATTATACATGGAGATCATATCCCCCCTTATGTATTATACATGGAGATCATATCCCCCCCCTTATGTATTATACATGGAGATCATATCCCCCCTTATGTATTATACATGGAGATCATATCCCCCCCTTATGTATTATACATGGAGATCATATCCCCCCTTATGTATTATACATGGAGATCATATCCCCCCTTATGTATTATACATGGAGATCATATCCCCCCTTATGTATTATACATGGAGATCATATCCCCCCTTATGTATTATACATGGAGATCATATCCCCCCTTATGTATTATACATGGAGATCATATCCCCCTTATGTATTATACATGGAGATCATATCCCCCCTTATGTATTATACATGGAGATCATATCCCCCCTTATGTATTATACATGGAGATCATATCCCCCCTTATGTATTATACATGGAGATCATATCCCCCCCTTATGTATTATACATGGAGATCATATCCCCCCTTATGTATTATACATGGAGATCATATCCCCCTTATGTATTATACATGGAGATCATATCCCCCCTTATGTATTATACATGGAGATCATATCCCCCCTTATGTATTATACATGGAGATCATATCCCCCCTTTATTATTACACACGGAGATCATATCCCCCTTATGTATTATACATGGAGATCATATCCCCCCTTATGTATTATACATGGAGATCATATCCCCCCTTATGTATTATACATGGAGATCATATCCCCCCCTTATGTATTATACATGGAGATCATATCCCCCCCTTATGTATTACACATGGAGATCATATCCCCCCTTATGTATTATACATGGGGATCATATCCCCCCTTATGTATTATACACGGAGATCATATCCCCCCCTTATGTATTATACATGGAGATCATATCCCCCTTATGTATTATACATGGAGCTCATATCCCCCATTAATCTCCTCTTCTCCAGAGAGAATAAAATCAGTTCCTCTAGTCTTTCCTCATAGCTGAGCTCCTCCATGCCTCGTATCAGTTTGGTTGCCCTTCTCTGTACTTTCTCCAGTTCCCCAATGTTCTTTTTTTGTGAATTGATGCCCAAAACTGAGCTGCATATTCCAGATGAGGTCTTACTAATGATTTGTACCCGGGGGGGGGGGGGGGGGGTGATATCTCTCTCTCTCGAGTCCTATATACCTCTCCTAATACAAGAGAAGATTTTTGCTCGTTTTGCCCGCAGCTTAAGTATGTTTTAAGATTGTGATCTACCAGAACCCCCAGATCCTTCTCCACAACTTATCCCCAGTAGTTGTACCCCCCTAGTATGTATGATGCATATTCTTGGCCCCAAGTGCAGAACCTTACAATTTATCAACATTAAACCTCATTGGCCCCACAGTCCCCCCCAATTACACAGAGCATTGAGGTCGGCCTTGTAAGGAGACATTCTGTAAGGACGTTATTCCCCGCACAGCTTGGTGTCATCTACACAAAGCCTGGAATCCCCGGCCCCATATTGTATATAAATTATTAAAAAAGGTCCCAACACTGAACCCTGGGGTACCCCAATAATAACACTGACTTGGGGTACCCCACTAATAACACAGAACCTTGGGATACCCCCACTAATAGTAACTGAACCTTGGGGTAAACACCACTGATAACCATGAACCATGGGGTACCCCACTAATAGCACTGAACCTTGGGGTACACCACTGATAACACTGAACCTTTAGGGGTACACCACTGACACCCCTAGACCATTCTGAGTATGAATCATTAACCACTACTCTCTGAATACCATCTTTTAGCCAGATTTTCTATCCATTTACATTCGGATTTTTTCCAGCCTGTAGACTTTACCTTACACATCAGCCGTGTGTGGGGAGCTGTGT